AATTTAGTATACCATCAACTACACGATAGAATATGAATAAAGAGTAGTTTCCTAACACCCTATAGCCTCCCGGAGATAAGTACAGACGTCTCCGTACCGATCCGCAAGACTCTATTAGGTTTGCCTATGACTTGCGAGACTTACGTGAACCTAGTGTTCTGATACCATGTTGTCACGACCCAAATTCCATTTTAGGTCGTGATGGCGCCCAACACCGTGGTTACACAAGCCAACCCTAACAACTAGTCAGTTCTCAATTATTGTATTAAACATTCCCAACATTTACTTAAGTTATATTTAAAACAGTCGATGATTAACAATTTCATAACAATAGAAATACAACCCCAAAAATGATAGTCTACTAATGTGTATGACAGGAACTAGTGTCACAAGTACTAGGGCATCTAGTAGAATATACAAAAGAATGTAACTATCCTACTACCTAATATAGAATAGACAGTAATAACAAAAAGAAGAGACTCCGGCATGCTGCTGAATGGTTCAGAAGGGGCAGCTCACCGTGGAATCTCAGTCTAATCAGGAACGCGCCCCGGACTGGTAGCTAGTTGTACCTGCCTCAGATCCTGTACATTTAATTACAAAAGCGTAGTATGAGTACATAAACAATATGAACCCAGTAAGTATCCAGTCTAATCTCGAATAAGTAGTGACGAGGGGTCGACTTGATACTTACTAGGGTCAATAATAATGTAAATTAAGTACTACGCTAAGCATGGATGTCAGGAATAAATAACAGTTGGTAACAGGAAGTGATAGGTTTTTTGGTAGATATTATTTCAGTTAACAATCCATATTTTAAGGCATTTAAAACAGTTCAAACCACAGAAACTACCAAACATATAGCATGCACAAATATTGCCGAGGTCGTACGACCCGATCCAACATAAAAGTAAAGTGAGCACTGCCGGAGGGTCGAACGGCGCGAACCATAGATGCATCTATTACCCCGCTCACAAATCATACATGCGACGCGGTCAAACATAAATAAACATATCACGCAGTCAATCAATAATTTATCAGGAAAACAATTATCCACAGTAATGTCAAACTTCTCTTTAATGGTCAAGAAAATGATGTTTAACTTTTTTAGAAATTCATTTGCCAAGTTCGATATGATTCATGTTATCTAATTTAACAATAAAGTTACAAATATGGCAAGTAAAACATGCTTTTGGGTCCTAAACTACCCGGACTTAAGCATAATAGTAGCTACGCATGGACTCTCGTCACTTCGTGCGTACGTAGCCCCCGAAATTAGTGGTAAATATTCAATTATTTCTCCTATAGGGACAATTCCCTCTTACAAGGTTAGAAAGGAGACTTACCTTGCTCCACGGTCTACCTCCCGGTCTAAGCTTATGCCCAAACTCTCAAATTGGCGCCAAACACTCCGAAACTATCCAAATAGCATAAAAACTAATCAATATATGCTGAAAAGTTCATATCCCAACTATTAGAGTGATTCTCCAACCCAAATTACAAGATTCCAAAAATTCATCCCCGGGCCCACTTGCCCGGATTCCGGAAATTTTTTGAAGAAAGTTGTTACCCATAATCTAAGGATCAAGAATATATGATTTTTACCTTATTCCATAACAAATTTTTACCTCCTATTTTTATCAAAACCCTAGGTTTTACTCTAATCCCATGCTTTTCACTAATCTTGGTGTGTGAATCTACTCAAAAACCAAGTATTAAGCTCACATTAAGTAGGAGTAACTTACCTCACAAATGCTAGGTTGAAATCCCCTCTTTAGAAGCTCCCAAATCGCCCAGACAATGAATGCAATGTGTCAAAGATGACACATTCCCGTATTAAATGAAGGCACTGCCTTTAGCGATTTCCGTACCTGCGGTTAGGGGACCGCATCTGCGGTCTCACTTCTACGAGGAAGTCTCCGCATCTGCGGACTTTCCTTGGGCTGGCTGGGGACCGCATCTGCGATCTGGGGCCGCTTCTGCGATTTCGCTTCTGCGGAAAAGGAGCCGCATCTGCGGTTCCTGGGCTCCTCCGCTGGGGCCGCACCTGCGAAGGATCGACCGCTTCTGCGGTCTCGCACCTGTGGCTGGGCAACCGCAGGTGCGGTTGTGACAGATGCCTGGAGCTTCAGCTCCTTTCAAAAATTTCTAACTCAACTCGAGCATCGCCCGATTGACGCTCAGGGCCCCCGAGGCCCCGCCCGAACATACCGACAAGTTTGAAATGATAAAACGGACTCGCTCGAACCCTCGAAACACCGGGAACAACATGAAAACTAGGAATCACACCCTATAACCAATTTATTCAAACTTATGAACTTCAAGTTCTTCAATTTACTTCTAACGCGCCGAAACGTACTTATGCTACTCGGATTGACACCAAATTTTGCGTGCAAGTCTTAAGTAACACTACGGAACTATTCCCAGTCTCGGAATTCCGTTCGGACCTCGATAACACAAAAACCCGCTCCAAACCAAATATTTAAGAACTTCAAAATCCTTAAGGAATCAACTTTCACTATTAGGCGCCAAAACGCTCCCGGGTCATCCAAAACCCGATCCGGACATAAGCCAAAGTCCAAATTCATCATACGAACCTGTTGGAACGTTCAAATCCCGATTTCGAGGTCGTTTACTCAAAATGTTGACCGAAGTCAAACTTGGCCTTATAAGCCAACCTTAAGGAACCAAGTGTTCCGATTTCAACCCAAACTCTTCAAAATCCCGAACAAACCATCCCTGCAAGTCATAAGTCAATAAAAATAAGTACGGGAAGTCTTATTTAGGGGAACGGGGTTCTAGAAAACATAATGACCAGTCGGGTCATTACAGGTAAGAGTCAATACCACTAATGATTCGACAAACATAAAGATCTAAAAGTGAAATGTCATATCAATCTTTTATTCTTTAAAAATAAAATTTATGGTGGACAAAATTATAACTAGTATTAAATATTCAAAATAAGAGATGAACTAATATTAAGATCTGAATCAACATAGATTACTTTTTTTTATGTTAAAACCAAATAATTAAATCATTTAATTACTTATTTAGCAAGAGAATCCAATTCAATTATTTTTAAAATTCATCATATGAGTTAAATTCTTATTCAAGTTTTAAAAACAATCTTAAGGTACATAAATTTATTCCATAAAAAGAGCGTTAGAACACAGAGTAAAAAGGTTAATATATTATTAAGAATCAAAATGCTATACAAGTGTCTGAAGAAGCACAATCAAAGCTAAATCCTAAACAAGAACAAGCGTTCAAGACTATATTATAAAGAGTCGACTCTGCTATAACGTGATTATTCTTTTGTGATGCCTCCAGCAGAATCGAAATAATATTTCTATGTCATGCATTACTTGCAAATATCATATCAAGAGGCATGACACTGTTAGCAATAATAACAAGTGGTTTGATTTTATTATGAGGCTACTCACTTTAGGTTTGATATACCTCACCAAAAAACTTAAATAACCATGACAAATATATCAAAGTAGAGCAATAGTGCTAAATTTATAAGGAAAGCAAAATTGATAATATGAGATGAAACATTTATGGCTATGTGTCAAACGATCGAAATAATTACCCGGAGTTCTAGAGATATTTTAGATATTAATGAACCGTTTGATGGAAAGTTAATGGTTTGGGATGTGATTTATGTCAAGTACTACCAGTAGTTCCAAAATCGACAAAAGTAGAGAGTGTAAAAGCTAGCTTGCCAAAGTTATACTTCCGGCCTCAAATAAAAAAGATTCAACTGACAAGAAATATAAAGTACAAACAGATCCAGCATTCAGTGTCTTCTTGTTTCGTGTCAGAAATGAAGAAGAGCATCCAATAAAAGATGATTTGGTTCTTCCTGAACACCTTGTTATCAATCCCAATGGTAATAGTAGTGCATTTAATAAGAGAAATATTTCAATCATTAGATTAAAACATAATTTGTGCAAATCACATGATAGAATTAAAAAGATATCTTAGCTAGTAGAAATGAATGTGTTGATCAACTAAATAAAAGGTTGATTACAAAATTTTATAATAAAAACAAAATATTTTTCTTTTTTGACTCACCAAAAAATGATACCAATAATTACTACCAAGAAGAATACTAAAATACTTTAATACCAAATGTCCTTCTACCATACATGTTTGTTGTTAAGTTTATTATTTCTTACGTATGTTAATGTCACCGTTTATATCATAGACAGTTAAAATTGATCTTCTATTGTATATAGGTTGATTTTGAATAAATATGCCCGTCATGCTACTGAAAAACTTAGATAAGTTGAATAACTTATGTAATAGCACACAGATGATATATAGAAGTTTTGACAATAACGTCATATATGCAAAAATTATGATACTGGTCAATTTGCTTCTAAGTATATTCTTATCCCAGAATTCAACTTTCGTGTTCCGAAACTAAGGAATATCCTTTTTAAATTTGTGGAAAAATAATTTTTAGTATGTTTATGTTTTGCATGTATAATAAATAAAGCACAAGGATGAACATCCTAAATATTGGACTATATTTACCGCAATACATTTTCTTGCACGAACAACTATATGTTGCACTTTCAAGGGAGATATCAAGATCGACAACAAGAGTTCTGGTTAAGGCAGAGCAACCAAAGCATTAGGAGGAAACATACACACAAAAATATTGTGCACAAAGAAGTGTTCGTTAACATACCATCACATTAAATACTTTTAAACTATTATAGATAATTATCCAACTAACATGACAAAATTGATCATTTGTGTAAGATTTGATTATATCCTTTTATTTTAAATTCATGTATTATACTAATGTAATAATATTTTCGGCATTTAATTAGACGATTGTTGTATTATTATAAATAAAATTTCTCTCATTAATTAAATTTTATTGTTCTTTCATATAAATAAATGTTTAAATTATCACATTCCATTATTAGCATGCAATACACGTTCATAAATACTAGTAATATATTAAATGCTCTTTCATATTATAGGTGGTGGAAAGACTTAGACTTGTCAAGCAAATTTCCATATGCAAGAGATAGGTTGGTGGAGGTCCACTTCTGGGTGGTGGGAATATATTTTGAACCTCGATATAGTTGTGGGAGAAGAATGCTAACAAAAGTAATCAAATTGGCCTCCATAATTGATGACACATTCGATGCTAATTACGCAACCTTTGATGAACTTGTACTTTTCACGGATGCGATCCAGAGGTACACATTCCATGCTAAGTACTTCTTGTTATTGCTCTGAAATAAGTAGTAGTAAGAGTACTATGTAAAAGGGGTAAAAGCTAGCTGGTGACTTTAATTTGATACAAACTGTTGACGTGCAGATGGGACATAAGTGCTCTGGATTCATTACCACCATACATGACACCTCTTTATCAAGCCCTTCTAGATGTTTACAACGAAATGGAAGAAGCATTAACCAAAGAAGATAAATCTAACCGCATCTACTATGCAAAATATGAGGTAATACGTCCTTGCTCTCGTATTGATCAGTTAAACTTATATTTTGTAGGGAAAACCCCGAAAATATTAGCAAAGGAGAAAACTTTCTGGATTGAAAAATTAAGGGGAAACAGCTCCTCTCCAGTACTGATGATCTCCTCTATTACATGCTTAAATAAGTAACATCCGCGCGTCCATTTTTTCAATTAATGTTCCAGATTTTAGTTACCTTAAGCATTTGTCTAACTATATACATGGTATATAATACTACTTATTATCTACTTTTACTTTGTTGCCTTGTTAGATGAAAAAGCTAGTGAGAGCCTATTTTAAGGAAGCTGAATGGTGTGACGGTGGCTACATTCCGAGTCATGAGGAGTATATGGAAGTTGCACTTGTAACCTCTACCGTATTGATGGGTGGAACGACTTCCTTGGTTGGTATGGAGGAATTTATAACAAAACAAACTTTTGAATGGATCATAAATGAGCCGTTGATTTTTCGAGCTTCATCAGCTATCTGCAGATTAATGGACAGTATTATTGACCATAAAGTAAGTACAATAATAGATTTCCAATTCGCAATATTATTCCCAAGATAATATTTATCCTTCTCGGTCGTAAGATTTTCCCTCTATGTAATAGACAAGTCTTAGATATTCCAGTTCTGAAGGCAATTAGGTACTATTAACTTGACATGCTAAAATAGTTACAACTTAAAAGAGTTCTTTAGTAATCCCTATAGTAATTTCTTACTGTAATAAACCAAAGCTAAGTAATTTAAAATTAATTGTCCACAACAACACATTGTCGAATAATTTCTTACATGCTGATTTGACGATTGTACTAATAACTATACTTGGCTTAACGACGGAACAAGATTAAAAGTAGAAAATGTTAGTATTACTTTTTGGTGGGGGGTCTGGCTGATCCTACACATGCTTATGATTAGAGAGCCCTCTAAGGATCCAATTTTAAGTTAAATGAGAAACTTTCTATATTAAAAATCCTAAAGAAGAACATTGCAATTCTTCAGATCCAACTGGATCTTTTTATTTTGTAACATCTTTAAAGTTGTAATATATATCTTTTCGCATGGTCACGGAAACAATTTCCCCATGTTTGTCAAGATCACCAAAAGCCATGATTACTTTTTTGATGCCAAATGACGAGTACATATAATATAAGGGACAACTTCTAATGCAAACCAATTCATTATTTTCGCAGAATACTTTTTAGTTTGTGTATAGTTGCATGATGAAGAAAAAAAATGTTTGGATAAATATTGTTCTATTTGAAATTTTATAATATCCAGAAAAAGATTAACAAAAAGTTCCTCTAAGCAATTTTAACCAATATATAGGAAACTGTTTTTTTTTTTTTTTTAATCATGGAAATACTTTGGTGTAGAATTACGGGATAGCTTTCTATAAGCAAAACTTAATAAATACTATAATGTAAGAACGTAACATGATAACTTACGTTCCATTACATTGATATGATAATCTGGATACATGAAGAAATGGACCAACAATAACTTGCCAAGTGGATTTTGCAACTGAATTTGAATACGCAATTAAATATTATGTTGTAAATTTCTTCAGTTTGGCTTAAAAGTGAGATGCAGTATAGGCTGTATATGATTATAATTGTTGTATATATAATTTCATTATCAATTAGAATTTTTTTTGTGAAGATATTGACATCTATGTATTGTAGGAGGAACAACAAAGAGGACATGTAGCTTCAATTGTTGAATGCTACATGAAAGAACATGGAACATCAGAGCAAGAGGCATACATTGAGATCCAGAATGAAGTCACGAATGCATGGAAAGACATAAATAAGGAATTCCTCCGCCCTCTGGAAATGGAAGTGCCAATGTTTGTCCTCGAACGAGCTTTAAATCTTGCACGCATATCACATACTTTTTTCAAAGATGAGGATGGATACACAAATCCCAGATCCAATGTCAAAGAACTAATTACTTTGTTGTTTGTTGAATCTGTCAACGTATGACAATAATAATGTCGAAGCATTTTGCATGTTCTGGAGATGTAACATTTTTTCTGAATAAACTATTTTTGTTACTGAATTGCTGTCAATTATATTTTAGAAGGGAAAATATCGAAAAATATTGATTTTGTTAGGATCGCAATAATCCAATGTCAAGAGGAAGCTAACAAAGCATACGAATAGGCATATTTTGAATCTATACGCATTCAAACAATTTAGGCATAGTTATTAAATTCGACAATAAAAGAGTAATATACCAAAATAGGCATATTTTGAATCCATACGCATTCAAACAATTTGACTATTGCACTATTATGGTTTGAACTCTTAAAATATAATCTCAAAATATTTCGTAAATAAATTTTAGACACGAGAAACCATGGCTCTGGTACGACTGTAGGATTGCATATAGATGTTCGTAACACGCAGAGGAATTAAGAATCCTATGCAGATCTATGACGACTTGTTAGGTCGTTTTCTTAGTTTTCGTGTTCCGAGACCTTTCATAGCTTCATTTGACATTTTCTGATTTGTGTGCATGGTTCCTATCGCTTTTCGGGAAAAAAAAATTATGTGTGAAATTTTGAAGAAAATAAAATTTTTGACTAAAAATGAGGCTAGAGTTGACCACGGTCAATCTTTTGGGTGAACGATCCCGGATCGGTATTTTGACGATTCTGGTAGGTTCGCATGATATTTTTAGACTTGTACGCACGTTTGGTTGGGGTCCAGGGTGACCTGAACGCATTTCGGCGCATTACGTGTGAAATTGTGAAAATTGAGTTTAAGTTGAAAATTCTTGAGTTTTGATGATCGATTCTTATTATTTGATGTTATTTTGATGATTTGAGGTAGCGAGCAAGTTTGTATAATGTTATTGCACTTGTGTGCATGTTCGGTTTGGAGCCTGAGAGGCTCGGGTGAGTTCTGGATGTGCCACGGAAGAGTTTGGTTGATTTTAGATTGCTGGTGCAAAATTGTTGGTGCTTTGGGTTCGCCGATCCCACATTTGCGAGATTTGGCTCGCATTTGCGAGCTCGCTTTTCCGGTCTAATGATCACATTTGCGATAAAGGGGCTGGGCTGGGAGACCTTGCATTTTCGAGGTAATGTCGCTTTTGCAATGGAGGGAGATTCGCATTTGTGAACTTATTGGTCGCATTTGCTACCACTGGCATTTAGGACATTTTGGCAAATCCGAAGAAGATATCCGCATTTGCGAAGGAGGGCATTTCGCATTTGTAACTTCTGTGCATCTGATGCACTGATCGCATTTGCGATCCGTGTGTCACATTTGTGACATTGCATTTGTGTCAAGTGTTCGCAAATGCAACACTTGCAGCTGGGTAAGGGGGGGGGGGGGGGGAGGGAACGGGACTTAGCTCATTTTACACCATTTCTCAACCGCGAACACTCTAGAGGCGATTTCTGAAGAACCTTTTCTTCCCAAATTCATTGGTAAGCAACTCTAATTCATTTTGTATCAATTCCCCATTAAATTTCATGAGTATTTAACATCGAATCTGTGAATTTCATCGTAGAAATTAGGAATTCTGAGTAATATTTAGGGATTTTGAAAAATTGAGATTTGGCTCTCAAATTGAGGTCGGATTTCAAAACAAATCACATATCCTCGCTCAGGGGTGAATGGATAATCGTGTTTTGGTCCAAATATCAAATTTCGACCAAGCAAACCCGGGGTTGACTTTTGTTGACTTTTTCAAAATTGATCAAAATTGAACATTTTTCATTTGTGGGTAAATTCTGAAGCTTATTTGAATTGTTTGATCGATAATTGGCCAGATTCGGTTAGTTTGGAGGCTTGTTAGAAAGGCACGGTCATGGCTGATTGATTGATTTGGTTGCAGAGTGAGGTAAGTGTCTTATGTAACTTTGACTTGAGGGAATTTGTTGGTTTATTAGCTTTGCGAATGTCACGACCCAAAAATCACAGGTCGTAATGGAACTTAACTCGACCCGCTAGGTAAGCCAACTAACAAAAGATACAAACCAAATAAACTTATAGGAAATTAAAATAGGATTATCTACACTTTTACAAATTTACCCAAGAACTGGTAGTACAAATCATGAGCTTCTAAGACTTAGAATTTACAAAGATGATACAAATAATCACACGATCAGTTTGAAAACTACATGAACAGATTAATAATGTCTAAAACTGCCAAGGATAAGTGGCAGCTTTTATCCAGAATACATGAACATCTTCAGGGTCAGCTTCCGACTTCACCAGCAGCTTCGCTCCAAAAGTCTGCACGGAATGTGCAGAAGTGCAGTATCAGTACAACCAATCCCATGTACTGGTAAGTATCTTTTCTAACCTCGTCGAAGTAGTGACGAGACTTTTAGTTAAAAGATGCTTATTGATAAACACTGTAATGTAAACTAGAAAAAGAACTATACTATAGTATAATAGAATAGAGTACACGATACGACTGTGGAAAGCAATAATAGAGTACCAGAAAGAATAACAATTCAACAGTTTCCAGCATCTCGACCAACCCTTTCCTTAGAACGAAAGCCCATGAACCACAACAATCATCTCTAAAATTTCATAGTGTGAGAAAAATACTCAAGACATCAAATTCAACGGCACGACAACACCCTTCGTGCATTATCTCATCCTTACCATATATGCGTAAAACAGTACCAACCAAATGACAGAAATACCGATAATAGAAATGACAAGGAAGGAAATACGCAAGAAGTAATAATGAACGAGAATGTACAGAAGAACATCAGTAACAGACTAAGCAGAGAGCATAGAGGTAGTGACAACAATTAGGAAAAAGGGTTATAACTTCAACTAACTAGCATGATGGAAGCATGAAGATAGATATAACAAATAAGAGGAAGGGGGGGGGGGGGGAGGGGGTACATGTTCTTTATAATGCAACAAGTAGAGGCATGAATGGCCAACATGGAAGAAGACCCGTACCTAAGTGCAACAAAATAGGTATGACAGGGATGCAATCATAACAGCAGGAAGTAGGCATGATGTTTACAAGTTAAACAAGTAGAAGGCATAGGCAACACAACAACGATTGAGATAGAGAATAAGGACAGAACAGTGACGACAAGTCACATAAGAACCATAAGTACGACAGTAACAATTCAAGGCAAGACATGAAAATATCTACAAGAAAAATATATCATAACATAATGCACGTCCCTCATCCTCACTTGCACGGAAATACCCATCATGCCATGAACTCGCAATGATACAAAGGTATAATAGTAAATGAAATGGCACGGCATCACCCTTCGCGCTTTTACTCACAAATGATATGGCACGACATCACCCTTCGTGCTTTACACTCTCCCTCACATGATAATGTATTTGTGATGACCCAAAAGGTTATCTCTTATTTTAGAAGTCAAATCTGTGTTCTGAGGCCGTTAAACCTCCTTTAGTCTCTCCTTGATTTGCGTGCGTAGTTCGGGCATATATCCGGAAAGCCTTTATGTGAAAATTTGAGAAAAATACTAAATTTTGCCTTTAAAATGGAATTAAGTTGACTTTGGTCAATATTTTGGGTAAACGGACCCGGACCCGTGTTTCGACGGTCCCGTAGGGTCCATAGTAAAATGTGGGACTTGGGCGTATGCCCGAAATCGAATTCCGAGGTCCCAAGCCCGAGAAATAAATTTTTGAAGAAAATGTTTAACTGAAAATGTGATGGTTTTTGAAAATTTAAATAGATTTGATCTTGTTGGTGTCTGGCTCGTATTTTGGTTCCGAAGCTCGGTACAGGTCTGTTATGGTATTTAGACCCTATCTGTGTAATTTGGTGAAAAACGGAGGTGATTTGACGTGATCCGGACCTTTGGTTGAAAAGTTAGAAATTTTGAACTATCTTGGAAAAATTCGTGAGTTTTGGTATTGAATTCATAGTTCTAGATGTTATTTTGGTGATCTGATCGCGCAGGAAAGTTGATATGATGTTTTAAGACTTGTGTGCATGTTTGGTTTGGAGCCCCGAAGGCTCGGGTGAGTTTTGGATAGGCTACGGAGTGTTTTGAGACTTAAGGAATTTGCTGGTATGATTGCAGGTCTGCAGACTTCGAATTTGCGAAGTCTGGCTCGCAAATGCGAGCATAGCATTAGCGAAGTTTCATCGCATTTGCGATTAGAGGGCAGGGAGGGGGACCTTCGCATTTGCGAAGCTCATCGTCGCAATTGCGACTCCAACCATCACCGCATTTGCGAAGGCAGCAGCTCAGGCCAAGCTTCGCATTTGCGATGCTTTGGACGCATTTGCGAGTTCGCATTTGCGATGCTTTGGTCGCATTTGGGAGTTCGCATTTGCGAACCTGTTATCGCAAATGCGATATCTGCGACAGTGTAAATCATAACTTAGACGGGTTTTTCACCCATTTTTCAAATCTCTCGAACCCTAAACCTCCCTAGGCAATTTTCAAATGACCCAAGCTTCTCCAAATCATAGGTAAGTGATTTCTAACTCAACTCATTCAATCTATCTCATCTTTTTACATGATTTCACTTCAAAATCTAGGGGTTTTCATTGGAAATTAGGTGTTCTTGGGTAGAAATTAGGATTTTCGAATTTTAGGGATTTGGACCTCAAATTGAGGTCGGACTTCAAAACCAATTGCATATTTGAGTTTGTGGTGAATGGGTAATAGGGTTTTGGTTCGAACTTCGAGTTTTGACCAAGCGGGCCCATGGCCGTGTTTTGACTTTTTGGGGAAAACAATGGGAAATTCATATTCATGCATTAGAATTTGTTTATTTAGCATTTATTGATGTTATTAAATTAATTATGGCTAGATACGAGTGAATTGGTGGTGGAATCGAGAGGTAAAGCAGTGGTTGAGTGTTGAATTACCCGTTGGCTTGAGGTAAGTGTTTGGTCTAACCTTGCTTGAGGGAATAGGAATCCCCGACTTATGTGCTATGTGAAATTTCATGTGTGTGGCGTGTAGGTGTGGTGACGAGTACCTATGCGCCACCAAATTTCCGTTTTTCGTTTGTTCCCTTCCCCGTTTCCTATTATACTATTTCTTGTCTTATTTGCTACCTGCTTAAACTGTTTCCATG